AAGACATGAAAGACTTGATGAATCCAGAACAAAGTTGCAATTCTTCTCACATAACTAAACCAGTTTAAACAACACAGAAATCCATGTTTCCAGACAGAATAAAACCACGAGATCCACCTGATTCCAACCAGACCAGACTCCATGATAGAACTCTTAGAGTATGATCTAAAGGGTTCAGTTCTTGAGGTGAAGCTGAACAGAAATGCTGGACAGACTGAAGAGGAGGCTGCCACACAGCTGTGAATAACCAGGCTCTAGCATAGTTATAGGAGGTTGCTGTCACAAAAGTGAATAATATTGGGTTTTATTAGATTGAGTCTGATGTGAGGTTTTAAGTATATTTTTAGCAGAACTGAAAATCCTAATTTCTGTTTTCACCTCTGAGTAAAGTAATAGTAAACTGCATCATCATCAAGAACAGCAGAGAAGATCATTGGGGCTCCTCTTCCCTCCATTAAAGACATTCCATCCCAGCATTGCGTGTCCCGAGCCCCTAATATCATAAAAGACCCCTCACACCCCCAACATGGACTGTTCTCCCTGCTGCCCTCAGGGAAGAGACTTTGACGCATCAGATGCAGGTCCAGCAGATTTCATAACAGTTTCTTTCCCACTGCCATTAGACAGTTGAATGTTATGTAAAAGGGGTTATTTTATTAAAAAATAAAATAAACAGAAAATACGAAAAATGCGAATATACAGTCATATGTTTGTATTACTGTTTTTATGTATTTATTACTGTTTTCAAGGCTGCACTTTAAAAAAAGAAATTGTCTTGTGCTGTTCTAAATGTAATTTCTTTTTGTTTACACTTGTGTATACAAAATGACAAAATAAAGTCCATGTAAAGGACTTTTAATCTGATCCTGTTGTTTGAACTATATTCCAACTAGGAACTGTACTCCTAGTTGTAGGAGGTTCTGCTACATAGAGTAACAGAACCAGTTATACTACAGATTGGTTAGAACCAGAACTCACCACCTGTGAGGCCACACGATGTGTAGAGGCTTCACCTGGTCCAAACACTCTGGGTCCTGACCAGCTGTCGGGGCACTTCTGGGATCCGATGGGGACTGATCGGGAACCTCCCCAAACCTATCAAGTCAGAACCAACTGATGTGATAACCTTCAGGTGAACGGATTCAATCTGTTGATGGTTTTGGTACCATGACGTCTGCTGCTGATCGGTCGGCGAGGTGACGATCCGATGATCGCTCTGAGGCATCTCTGCAGAGCGGCAAAGACGTCTCAGTTTTTGTTCAGGCAGCAGACTGAAAAACAGAACCAGAACCAGAGATATGGGAAACAGAACCCAGAGAAACAGGGACAAATAGAACATGACAGCGCCTTGTAGTCTGGCTGTTTGTTCCCCCGAGGACGTTGGAAAGCAGGATTCCAGTGATCCATTTGAGGAATGAACAGTCTGACCGCAGGCTGTAAAACCAATCAGATTATTGACGATCATGGTGATGATGTCACCTCTGAGTCTGATTAAAGATGAAGGTCAACGACGGCTGAGGCTGCTGGGGTTTATAATCAGGGTAATAATCAGACAGAGAAGCTGCAGCGAGGACGAATCGCTTCGCTGCACATGTAGAGTAAGAAATACAGAACTTCATCCTGCTGTTTGGTTCTGCAGAAATAAACCCAGATCCAACAGAACCTCATCTGATTACACAGCGGTTACACCGATGACACTGAGCTGATAGTTATTGGAAAAGGGTTGAAGTTGATTATAATGACAATAGAGTGAACTCATTTAAACCGTCTAAACTGAATCAGTTGATCAAACTTTAAAAACATAATTAAACATAAACTATCTTTTTTTTGGTTCTGTTGAATCAGAAAGTTGTTCGATAAAAAAGCAGATAGTTTACTGTATGATTTTTGGATGCTCTGATGTTCCATAAAATTGTCTTAAACAATAAAAACAGTTCTACTTGTGTAGAAATTTGGGAAATTTTCCGTGTTCATCCTGATCCTTCCACAGATCAGAACCCCTCTGCACATTTAATCCAGTCTGACCCTTTTTGTTTTTGCTGCCCCCGTCACATGAGCTCAGACTCAAGAATCAGGAATCATCGCTTGCTGAAGTAGAACAGTAGAAGAAGCCCACAGATGCTCGCTGTGTGACATCATCATTGATCTCGGAGGAGTCTGGGTTCAGCAGTAGCCATGATGGATGGAACGTCTGTTTCTCTCTGCAGAACTCAATGACTATTCAGTTATAATGACAGTGTGACTGATGGATGAAGGTTGTCACAACAGAGACCACAGAGGAACAGTCAACATAGCAGACTCAGCCCACATGGATGTTTCATCCTCCAGCTACTGGTCGCACCTGGAAGCAGTCAGCATCACTACGCTCATCCAAACCACTGAGCAGGAAATGTCCCATTTAATATAAATTAGAACTACTTTTAATTAATTTTGCTCCAAGAGCTGAGCTAAAAGGTTAAAGAACCTCATCAGCATTGATTTCAATCAAGTGTTTTTAAATCAGTGAAACGTCTTAGACCTGCCAGAGGACCACTGTTACAGTCAGTCACCAGGCTGACCTATGTACAGCAGAAGCCCACCTTCTGATGTCAGGGAACTGCACCGGGTAGCTGAGGACCACACACTTAGGACGGATCAGCCGGTCCAGGTCTTTAGGTCTATGGTCTGGGATTTTCTTCATGAATGACCGAATGGAAGACAGGAAGGACTCCATGTTGAAGCGGGAGTTAAAGGCCACCACATCTGACACCAAGCTGCAGAGACAAACCAAATCAGAACAGTAGATTGGAGGGGTTCAGATGGTCCAGGATCCTGCAGGACTCAAACTCCCATCAGACGTCTGCTAATGATCCCTGCTGTGGTCTGATGCTGTAATGTGGTTAGAGAAGACAGAGTGCCTGCAGCTTATTGATGAGCTGCCAGCTGATCAACAACAATCACTTTTACAGTCAGACAGCTGATCGATAACCTGAACCACTTTAATTAGGCACAATCAACCAATCAGATTGCTCAATCACTAATCAATCAGAGGGCCTCATGAAGACAAAAAATAGCAAAATAATCTTAGTTTATTATGAGAAATGATCAATCAGGCCGTATGGATATATATTATTCTACAAATTTAACTCTTCAGTATACTGCTGGACTAAACCCCATCTGGACCAGAACTGATCCTTATACCCCCCGCACACACACACACCCACATGATCCTTCTGATGGAGCTGGCGGTTACCATGAGAGCACCTGGTTGTATCCATACTGGAAGTCCCTCTCTTGGTCCTTACGAACCGGATAGACCAGCTGGTTCTCATGGAAGTACAGGATCTTCTTCAGCCGGGCCAGATCAGGTCTGAGAGCCACCAGCTCGCACAGGTTCAGAACCGAGCTGCTAAACAGAACCCTGTGGAGAACAATACACCATTAATAAGCAAAGGAATTCCTGCAGAGCCAGAGAAGTGACAAAGCAGCTGATCAGTGGATTTTTTTCTGCTTTTTCTGTCTCACTTAGTCTCTTTAAATCTTGTTTGAATGTGGTTTTATATCAGGGTTCCTACAGCATAAGGCAAGTTAAATTCAAGACTTTTTAATACTTTTTAATGAAACTTGAAATAAAAATTTAAGACCAAATTCACAAGAAACACAAAAAAAACCTGCTTGCAACAACTTAACCCAAAGGTTTATTTTAACATAAACCACTGCACTAATGTTTAAGATTTTGAAAAGTTTCCCATACAGGAAGAAAGCTAAAAACACACAAATGACAGACATTTTAACAATTATTTAACTGAATTCACAAACTTTGTTTTAGAAGGGAACAAAATAAATCAGTTTTAAAGCCACAACATAACCAGTGCTAAGTCTTTTTTGCAGCCATTTTTCTTTGTATCGTTTTCTCAGTACGTTTGATTTGGTGATAAGTGGAGGCGTTGCAGAGACAAGGGTGGAACAAAACTGAGAAATACCGGCTGTTTCTCGGTAACTCGATTTTGACTCTTTGTGTTTCGCACTTTGCATGTGCGACTTCACTGCCTTAATTCCCATCGTTCTGAGCTTGAATGACTTCTTGAACAAAATACACTGTGCCTCATTTATGTTTCCTGGTACTGATTTTAGCCATCAGTACCGGGCTGGAGTACTGATTTGGCTGGAGCCAAATTTCGTTACATTTACACTTGCTCATATTTTCCAGACAAAAAGTTAATGGCGCATCTCCCAAATGTCCCGGCCGCAACAACGCTTTTATTGGTTCCCCTATCAGGACGGAACCAATAATGGCGAGCCGTTATTTAAAAGTCAATTTTAATGTTTTATTTAGATTACAAAATAAATCGTAATAAAAATAATCCTATTTATGATGTTTTAAAAGTTAAGACCTATGAAAGACTGATTTAAGACATTTTAATACCAATTAAGGCCTTAATTTCATTTTGAAGAATTTAATGCCTTTTAAGACTTTTTAAGGACCCGCGGGAACCCTGTATATTGACCCTGATGGAGACACTAACAATGTTCAGTAAAATTTTGCTGGAATGATGGGACATAAAATGAGAAAACAATCTTGTTTTGTTCTTTTCTGGCTCCATTGTTTGAATGTGGACCATCAGGTTAAGTTGTTACAGAGATGGACCCCTCTATAATTGTACCTTCAGGTGACACTCACTCATAAGTTCTTTAATCTCTGGATGCAGGACTACGTTATACGGGCCAGTCAGACTGACTTCTGATGTCAAATACGTCTTATAATGTGCAGATGAGCAGTGACCACAACCATTCCGATAACTGTGATGCAATCTCTTTTTGAAAAGGTAAAGCTCTTTCAGCAGCCAGTTGTTGAACATTTAGAGATGTATGTAAAATCGCAATATCTGTTAAAAATAATCACAATTTAGATTTTTGGCACAATCATTCAGCCCTAGCTCGGACTATGATGCTTTCAGATATTGGTTGGACTAAAAAAATATGAGTCATATTATTTTCCTGAGAAAGCTGGTTTTGTTTGAGAATGATTCTACCAGCAGCAGGAATCAGCTGATCCAAACACGCTCAACTTGCTAAACTATGAGGTCCAAAGTGGAGATTCTCTTAATCTGCTGTTTTTTTTTATTTCCTAGAGCTGCACAACATATTAAAATTACAGCTTTTCTCACTACATCAATATGTGTGAGAACTAAAACTCAATCACAAGGACTGCTTGACTCCAATATTTGGCACAATATCTTATTTCTTTAACAAGTTATCTATTTTTCCATATTTTTTATTAGTGAAGTCTCAATTTTTAATCGTAAACATTTTAATCACAACCATAAAAAACAAGCTGTATTTTTTCCTAATATAATGAACCCAGGTCTTTATAGCATAAACATCTCTTCATCCTCAATCTTGTCCAAAGGTGGGCAACTCGATTCCTAGAAGGCGGTTAAATATCTAATAATTTGATCCAGTTGTGTTGAACCAAGGACACATCTAAAAGATGGAGGATACCAGCCGTCAGGAAGGGGAACTGCCCATCATTGGCTTCATGTTGGAACCATAGACACCCTGCCCAGAAGCTGCTGATGACAGGACTTGGATCACCTAGCAGTGTTTGGTTATCTTTAAGTTCAAAGAAGTGATCATTGTTGCTCATACTGCTCTGAAACCAGTGTGGGAATGAGTCAGCAGAAACAGGGACTTAAGCCCCACACATGAAACTGATCTTCTTATCCTCCATCAGATCAGCAGCTTCAGAATTCAGATGTTCTGAGAGCAGCTGGCAAGTCTTCTTCCCGCTGCTCCTCAACCCTTAACACTTCCAGCAGGGGCGAATATGGGCGAATATGTTCTGACCTAAACAAAACACTTTCTGAGGTGCTCTTGGTTCAGTTTTTTCGTCAAGTTTAAGATTTGCTTGAGTGGATTCACACCTGCATGTTACAAGTTAAAGTTCACTTACAAATAGTACGATGACAAAGCTCCATGAACCGAGACAGCTGGGCTGCGACATTAGCTCAGTACATTATCAAGAAACGCTTTAGGAGCTAGTAAGCAGTGAGCTAAGGCTCAGCGGCGCTTGTATCTTTAATGAAAATTAAAAATGTTTCATGTTGACTCCTTACTTAATGAGTGAGCTTTAATGATTTCTTTTGTTTGTTTGTACCCCTCATCCTGAAAGAATACACAGAGTAAAGAAAATACTGCTGCAAAACTGTAGGGACACTTCTCACCGTACAGTTTGCTGCCATTGCATGCAGATACATGCAGATTTTAAGGATTTCAAATGTTTATTTTTCTCTTTTAGCTTTTAACTAAATAAAACCAATTTCTGTGCCCAATCCAAAGGCTTATCAAAGGAAGAAGAGGCAGCGTAGGTACCAGATCTGTCTGGCCCTGCGCATGCCAGTGACGTTACGCTACACTGGCTGAACGCTGCCACATGTAAAATATTGTGGTTGCACAGAAAACGAAAATAACATCACGCAGCATCAGTGTGCAGAGTCGGGAGCATCTGTAGCATTAGTCTAATGATCAATGAAGTTTTACTTGAATGATAACAAAACTGAAAAGACCTGTTTATGGTGAACAACACTGCAACAACATGATATAAAGGGGGAGAGCTGGGTAGCACTGTGGCTAGCTGTGCTCACTAGCTAACAGGTTAGCCTGTTTTAGCTCAGTCAGTTAGCCATATTAAGCTAGACTACTTTTAACTTTGTGTTAACAACAATGTTCGTTTTCTAATAACAGTTTTTTTTATTTGTTTGAAATCTAAGCGAAAGTCATTTACTAAGATGTTCCATTTGTCCTTCCCTCCCCTCAGATCTTAATAAAAACAATAAAAACAAACTGAGACTTTTTCTGTCACCTTGGTAAAATGCAGAGCTCAGTCTGTCTTAGAGGGCAGTGCTTTCCTTCAAGACTGACAATGATTGGTTTCAACTTTTGGCTACTTTAGATTGCATGAAATGCAATTAAATATAGAAGGTAATAATATGTTGTGAGTCCAGAAGAGATTTGATTCTTAAGAAAGGGGTGCGATATAGTTTGTCAGAGTGGAGTTGCCATATGATGACCTCATGAGAAGGGGCGGGGCCCCAAGCAAATGTGGTACCTACAGTGGCAGGATGGGCCGAATCACAATCCGTAGACACCTTTAAACAATCTACCAGCAAGAATGAGACAAAATAATGCCAAATGTTCTTAATGGAATGGTCTTCTCAATGAAGGAACAAACCTCAAAGTACCAGAAACATACTTTTTTTATTTGGATACTGGTTGTCTACCTTAGGCGTTACCTGCATGGTGCCACATGTGTGCCTCTAACCTGTATGTTGAACAGGCAGGAATGGTCTGACTGAAGTACAGAGCTGCTGTTCTCGCTCTCCAGTGCCATTTTTTGGCAGGTAACGTGAAGACGGAGCAGCCCTCGATGTTTTCCTTCAGAAGGTCGATCAGCTGTTTGTGAGAACCCCCATAAAACGCCTCGACCAGCAGGACGCCGGGGGAACCGCCGACCTGATTGAGAGGAGTCAAAAGTTAGCTGTCGCTTTTATTAATGTCTGATCCACATCTGATGAGGTTTGGTCATGAGTACAGTACTTTGCAAAGTAATTACACCTTAAAACATTTTTTTTTTTTTTACCAAGCTCCTATTGGGAAACCTTTATGTTTTATACTGGAAATATATATGGTAACAACACAGAGTGGTGTATAACTGTAAAGTGGAAAAATTTTAACAATGATTAATGTGTTTTAAGTTGTTTATTTCAACAGCTTGTTAAACCCCCTTGACATTAAGACCCATTGAAGATTTAAAGAAGAATTAGGTGATAAAACAGTAACCCAAACTCTGAAAACCTGTCAGATCTGTTTGTTCATCTTTGAACAAAAGCAGAACAATTCCCAAGACATGTCCATCAGACCAAAACAACAGCCTGAGCAAGGAGAGCACTAATGATAGACACAGCAGAAGCCCATGGTGACTCTGAAGAAGCTCTCAGCTCAGATGGGGGAATCCCTCAGTTGTGCACTTCAGAAGTTTGACCTTTATGAAGATGTGGCAAAGGAAGGACATCCCTTAAAAGAAGAGTTCTTAAAAGTTCAACTTGAAAGTTTACCTCAAGCTCTTCAGAAGACAGCAAACATGGTGGAGGTCACATCCTGTCGTAAGGATGCTTTTCTACAACAGGGACAGATTTCTGATCAGAGCTGAGGGAAAGATGGCTTGTGGCTTTGCATAAGTCTTAATTAGCCTGATTAAAGGCAAAACTCGATCCCTACAATGTAAATGTTTCCTGCCCACTCAAAGGGCAGACCTTACGGTTTAAATGTTCTCCATCCAGTTTAACTGAGGTTAAACTATTTTAAAAAAAGAAACAGGAAAGAAATCCAGTCCTTATAGGCGATAAGCTCAGAGAGTTAATCCAAAAGAGTGAGAGCTTTAACTGAGCTGTAAGGTTGTCCTCAAGGGGTATAGAGATGCAAACCAGCCTTTTTAGATTGTTATTTGTCATTTTCTGTCTGCTGTACACAATGATGCACAACTCTTTGTGTCGGCCACACACATAAAACACATATAAATTAGCTACTAGTAAAATAAATTTCAATTGACAAAAACTTATATATATATATATATATATATATATATATTTTTTTTTATGAATACAACAAATAAACAGGCCTGGGTTTGTATTACTATCCATATGACATTGACTTATATTCAATTGAATCACTGCCTTTATGCCGAACTCCGACATTTAACATAACCCTGATCAGTATTCCGAACCTTATCCTTAACCTAAAGTTCAGCCTAAAAAGGTAATACAAAGAAGTACACACACACACACACACACACACGGATAATCTAAAAGGTTAAAGAACGTACAGGCAAAGGTTTACATTTAAGTAGTGGAGACCTTCTACTTTGATGTGAGATGCATAACTCAATAAATCTGAATATTTACTTTTGAAATCAACAACGTTTAGGCAGATAGTCTGACGTAGTTTTCATTAAGCCCACTGCTCTTTAATGCTCATTTGTCTGATGTTCAGTGATATTCTTATATCAAATGTCATGTTTTTTCTGAAACTTTTTGATCCTGATACGTTCAAAGATTTGAACATGAAAACTCCATCATGAGTCACTGATGCTGCGTCATTATTAGAAGCTGATTTGAAAGTTGAAGCCCATTCTGATGAAAACGCTGCAGGAACACCAGCCTACAGTATTTCCACAGTCTGACTGTAATAATTCAGCGAGATTTCCATAACAAGGCTCTTCCAGCCTGACAGGAATCCCCGTCAGCTGCAGAAACAAAGCTAAGAACAAGCTGGGGGTCACAGCTCACAGAGGAGAATATGCTGAGGTTAACATGCAGCTGAAAAGCTGGCCTGATGGAGGCAGAATGAATCCTCGCAGCTCTTCATTCTCCTCCTTTCAGGCCGTAAATGAAAATCTATTGTAGTGCAGCCAGTTAACTCTGCAGTAAGAAACCACAGTAAAACCCAGTAACATCCATCTATTTGCAGCACAATGTTCCCTGATAGGATCCATTATGCTGCGGGGAGGTTTACGCAGCCAGGCGGCAGGAAGTGGACAGCTTACGGTCCCTGAGCTCTCCTGTTCTTCCTCTGAATTCCCTCCCAACCATTTCCAGTTTGTTCCTCCATTACGCTGCCCACAATGGGAGCTAATGTGGCTGCAGCACCACTCAGCGCTCGCCCACATGCAGCTCCATCAGTCCATATCTGCTCGCTGCCACTCATATCAGGAGAAGGAAATGAGCTGTTTCTTCTGCTGGAGACAGATACCAACGAGACTTCTGCCATGCAGATGTGTCAGACAGACAAATCTGATTGGAACAAGAAGCACAATGTCAGCCTTTGTGCTAAAAATGGACCAATCTGTTTCCTGAATGCGTCCAAATAATGTGAAAAATGAAAACGTGTCAGGGTGCTGATTAACTGCTGATGGAAGACCTATTGGCCTTTAGAAGAAAAACCGACGACTGCTTTTTCTGTTCAGGCCTCCAAGTGGACAGTTTTACTGCTCAGATAAGGAAGGTTCCGACTGCTACAGTGTCAGCAGCCAGAAACCTATTAAAACTAAATATCTGAGCAAAGTAATTTAGGATTTTTTTGTCTTATTAACTCCTCAGACAGATGTTAGGACATGAGTCACAGGCTGGAGACCAGGACAACAATTTAAATAAGCAGAAATTAAGCGCACACACATTACTCTTTGAAGATAACCAAATGGAACACTTCAATATCTATAAATAAATAAAATAAAGACAAAATAACATGTGTTCCTATTGTAAAACTGAACTAATCAAAACGTGACAAAATGAGACAAAAAATAAAGTCCAAATACAATAAGAAGTAACTATACAAAAAAAAGATATAAAGGTAAAGGTAATTCATGAGAAAACCTGAGACAACAAAAGCTAACAAATAAAATGGAAATAAAATAAACTAACTGAAAGAGAAAGAATTTACAGATACAAAAATCCCAAATATGTGTTGAAATATTTGAAATAATAACCTTTTGGCAACAGAAACAAATAACCAAAAGGGCGGCGAAAAAGCAAAGAGACTGACTTCAAATAAAAAGAATAGAAAAAAAAAATGTAATATGTAAAAAGTATGATTATTTTACTTGGGCAGTATTACAAACGCAGCAAAATATAAAGCAAATGTGACCTTCAGTCTGCATCAGACTGTAGGTTGGGGGGGCAGAATCAGAGATGTGGACAACCAGGACAATGGAAAGTCAAACTGCTGTGAGCCGCTAATTGATCAAGCAGACAGGATGTTTCTTAGTAAATGTGAAATCAATCATTCCACCTTTAATCAAACAGAACCACGGTGGGGGATTCCAGCTTAGACACCTTTCCTCCCACCGCCTCGAACATGGAAGGCTGCAGACACACTTGAAACAAAGGGTTAATGTGGGCGTTTCCCCAGCAGGGAATCCCCCAAGCAGCTGCTGCGCCCGGGCTGAGTCAGCATCGCACCGCGCCGCCTGGAAACCAAGCGGTGGAATCTCTGGAAATGCTCCTCACTCTGTTTGTCGTAAATCTGTGGGCGAGTCTGCTGCTTCATCCTCGGTGACGTCCCGAAAAAACTTCATGCTGTACCCAAAACAACAACATCAATGTGTAGGTCACTTCAACCATACCAACAAAACCCCCCCCCGATGACATCAAACACCATCGCTAATCAGCAGCATTACCAAACTTCACACCAAACCATTGGAACACTTTTTATCATGCTAGAGTGTGATTTTTGAACTGAGTCCATCCCAGACAACTGTACCCTGGCCTGGTTACATTGGGAATGCGCGCCCATCCTGGCATACCGAAGAGAAAGAAAACAGGACGCAACATAAAAATAGCAGTATAAGAAGATGAGGAAAAACAAAGCACGAGTGCAAACCTGAAGGCAAAATAGTTTGACATTGTGTTGTGGTGCTACATAGAAGATGAAAGAGATTCAAACACAACAGAAGCCCAATGTGACAAATTTCAAAAAATGTTTTTTTCTTCACTCAATCGTATCTGATGTTGTTTGACTCGTCTAAAATGCCTGCATGAAAGCAAGCCAGGGAAGGCTATGGCATGAATTGAATCACTTGTAGTGATCCATTGACCCAACCATCAGTAGGTATGCAGAATGATTTACTGTAGGCCCCGAACACTATGGAAAACTAAGACTTTACTAATCTAGATCAACTACAGTAATCTAGAACCACTGAGCACCCATTTAATTTTAATTTTAATTTTTTTATTTACTCTTAAATGGCTCTAAAACTCAATCTAAAATCTTTAAGTATGGCTGATTATGAAGTGCCTTCAAGTCTGTTCTGTCAGCAGTCATCCATCTAACATCCTCCAGACTCAGTAACCTCTCTCCCAGGTTGAAGACCCTGAACGATCTAGATAGGGCACAGAAGCCCAAAGTGCTTCAGTTAATAAACATTATTAACATCCAAATTATGCATGAATTTATGCAAAGTTGCCAGAAAGAGAACATTAAATAAAGTTAAATATTTATTAGCTAAAAAACATTTAATCAATCTTTTATGGAATACCATTACAGAACATCATTTTTCATTTACTGATCATGTTTCTTTAAAAAAAGAACTCAATCAGAATCTTCAACTTGTAGATGACATTTCTAATAAAATTATCTAAAGCTTTTCTCTTCCTTTAACATTTCAATTTCAACCTACTCTTTTTGAGCAAATAATAAACAAAGTTTTGTTAAGCTCAACTGATTCAGGCATCTTAGTCAAATGCAGTCCTACAACTTATCCTGCTTTTTTTTATCTTCATTGTATTAAAAAAACAGTTATCCATCTATTCATTAATCATTCAATCATCAAGGACATTTTTTAAGTTTATCATTTAGCTTTTAAAAGCTTTGAAAAGCTCTTTATAGCAATGGGACTGGTGAAAATCAGTAATTACACTGTAACAGCCTCGTACTTTACATCTGTGCTCCCTCTCTGAGTT